AAATTACTCCACCAGGGAAAATGTTGCTTTGTTCTAGGTAGTGGGGAGCAACCACAGCAGTATTTTGGCTCTTCAAGCATTCTGGAAAAGGACGGTAGTATTGGATCAGTTGTAATTTGAGATACTCGGGGGTTTGCTGTGTTAAAACATTGACTTGTCACAGGATATGCTGTTGGTTAATCTCTGCAAAAACTTGGGATGAGGAAAAGATGTGGGATATCCATTGTGTGGTCGGTGAGCTTTTTCCCAAAATGACAGATTTTGATGTGTTGGGAGGAGCTGTAAGTGGAAAATGTTATTTTTGCTGCAACTAAGAAATAATAAAAAAATCACTCTAGGAGATCTGTGAATCTCAACCAATGAAGGAAATAAGAACTTTCACAAGCATCTTGAGATCCTAGTGGATATCTTTAAAAGTTTATTACTAGAATTACTGACTACAAAGAGGCAGGAACATGTTCATACAGAGAGGGTAAAACAAATTCTTATGTAACTTTCACCTGTGTTCAAAAACTTTATAAGCAAGGAGTCCAGGAGAGCATTAGACTGAAACTCAGCTAATCGTACACGTGCTTTGCCTGAGGTACCAGTGTTAGCAGTTTGCCTGCACAGAGTCCCAGCTATTTGTCCAATTAATTACCCAGGAAGAATGCTACAAATGGAAGGTAACTGTTTTATGTTTTTAACTGGATTATTTTTAGTGGCTCTTACAAGTTTTGTTCTTCCTTCTGTCCTGTGTGTACTACTGTGGGGCCGCAATCAAATGCAAACAAGCAACCTTGTTTCTGGGGTTTGTTTCTTCCTTTGTGAGAGAGGCATAGTCAGCCCATGAGCTGGGCCCTGACTTTTACAGGTCTGAATACTGAAGTCCATATGGACTCGTGTGGCTGTCTTTATGCTGAACATTAGGTGTTTCCTTATCAGTTGTGCAGCCTGAATCAGTTCTGTTTTCAGAGATAACGGTTGCAGAGGAAGAAGGTATCTCTTAAATTAATATTGATAAAATTATCCCTTCAGTGATAATTTTAAATGCAGTGGCTTCTGCTGAGGATGCTACTGAGGGGTTCCTTCTTTAGTTCTAAGTTTCCTTTAATAGCTACTGTTCTCTGAAGCCTTTAATCTTGATGTGATAGCAGTAGCTTTTGGAGGCTTGCATTAATCAGATTATAAAACTCTCTTGGTATTACTGGAAGAACATTTGTAGGTTTGCAGACTGGTGCTGTTACAACAACATGCTAAGATTTGATTTAATGAGGGTTTTAGAATGACTGTCACTCATTATTTGTGTTTCCTGACATGCGATTTGGTGCTTTACTAGTAGGTTACTGCATTGTTAATAAGGGTTTTACTCATTTAAAGAAAACAAAAAATTAGAGAAACTTCTGTAAAAGACTAAGTCACAAGCTATTGTAACAGTAATTTTGTGATGAAGCGGGTAGAATTTTGTGTGAAACATAGAAGTGTCTACAAATGTGTTCCCCATCAAGTCTGAAAAGTGAGGGTGTTAAATAACAAAAGTTCTTATTTCTTTTGATCTAAAATGACTTGAAAAAGCCCCACAGTCAGCAGCTGATGTGGGTTCTGAATGCAAAGTTAGGTGGCTTTATCAATAATGCAAATACTGTCGTGCTGTGTATAAGCTGGGAGAGATGGAAATCTTCTTGTAACACCAAATTTTTGCTCATTTCTGAAGTGGCTGAGCTTCTTATTTTTAAAGAAGTTCTAGGTATTTTAAGAGTAATGCAGCACTAAATTTTGAGATTATGTAAGTTCCAAACTATCAGAGATCATTGGAGTTCAATGCACAGTTTACAACTGATAAACAAAACAACTGTGGTGAGTTGTAAGTCTAGCAGTTTTACTGCTGATCCTCACATAATAGTGTAGACTGACCAATATTTTCTTGAGAACAGATCCTTAAATGCAGGAAAGGTAGCAGCTTCAGACTTACTTTCCCATATGCAGCATCTGGTACAAAAACAGCATTGCTTCGTATTGAAAAGTGTTCAAAATATATGCAAACTTGCTACCTGTTGCCCCCCAAACACTGACATGATTCTTCTCTTTTGATACCGATTTCTACATAGTGGAAAAAAAACTCCAAAAAAACAAAACAACAAGAGTTTGTAGTCTGTATTCTGATACTTTTAAAAATTTATTTAGTGTCCGAGCTTGTGGGTTCATGTGACTTTCAGAAGGTGACAGTGCTGGCTAGGAAGTTCCCGCTCTGCCTCTCTCCTACTAGTTCTGTTTGAAGAAGCTGTATAGACAGCTGGGGCTCTAGTAAATTAATAGGATTCAAAGACTTACTTTTCAAAACGAAATAAAGTTAGATCACTGATCCAGTTTAATGTGTATCTCTACAGCATTTGTCTCAAAAAAAGTGAAAGGGTGATGTGGAAGCAGAAATACATTAAACTGATACCTCACAGGGCAGAAAGATGCATGACAGTGTGCCCTAAAACTTTTTAAGATTCCACTGCTGCTGAGAAGTTGAGGGTTATGGAGACAGCAAGAAAAATACTCAGAGAGAAACAATCGTTTGAGTATCCAACATCAAACTGCAAAGGGAAGCAGCTGTAACTCTCTAGCCTGCTACATCTAGAAAGCATCAGTTTGATGCTGCACAGCCTCAAAGGCTATGTAATTTATTTGGGAAACTGTGTTTTGAAAGCTTTCCAATTTTTTGATGTTTTAGGCATCTGCACATGTGTTGTGTGCTTGCTTGCTCTCTCATGCTGATATTTTCTATTTGTTTTCAAAGAATGACAAAATCTTGAGACTTCGTTATTTTCCTGTCTCTGTGTTTGTTCTAGTATTCCAAATATTTTTTCAGGAGATAACGGGAGTCTGATACAGCTTGTGCCACATTTTTATTAGTTAATTGTAGAAGGAGTAAACCTCTCTGAGAAGCTATATGGAGAGTGGTCACAAGCAACAAGTACTTTTTTCCTTGACCAAGTTTAATAATAAACTTTCAGTAATACCTCAGTAATTGGTATAGTCTGTGGTGTGTGTGTTATACCATGTTCTCTTAGGGACTGTATCCGTTTGCTGTGTATATCAACTATTTTGACATAGAATATTTGGTTATATGGGGGGAAAAAGGTTTCCAGAAATACTAAAGAAAAATTTCTCGCATGCTACATTTCTTTTTAAACTCTTTTTAGTATCTTCTAATCCTGACGTTTTCTTTCCTTTTTCAGACTGAAGACTTGAGTCCTCTTCTCCTTCAGTAGCTATAAAAGTGAATGGCAAGGTCTAGTTGATAGCCAATAGTAGCATTTAGGCAGTACGTCTTGGCCTGTGGTAAGTAGCTGGAAGGATTGGGCTTATACTGCATTCCTGTCAGTTTCCTCTTTAATTGCTGACATCACCAGTCCTCTCCTACCCAGTAAATACTATTGCTGTGGAAGGACCAGCCATTAGACCTCCTTACTGGGGGAAGAAGAGTCTTTGCTGTACACTGAATGCTTGTGGAGATGACTCACTGCTCACGTTTCTTCCTTTCAGTAAGAAGAAAGGGAAATACTCTTGTTCCTCCCATTGATCTCAGAAAGGTGCTTCAGGAGATAAGGCTTATATTATAACGTTGGCGTTCTCCTGAAGTGCACAGTAGAGGTGCTCCATGAAGCAGCAGGTCAACAGGCTTGTAGGTAGTTCTCCTGTAGGAGGAGGCCAGCAAATGATGCCATTTCTTCTCCCTCTTTTCCATGCTTAGGGACAGTGACTTTTGTAGTAAAGGTAGCTGCATGGTGCTGCAGGCTGAGCCCAAGTCCATCCAGATACTTCCTAAAGACAGAACTTTCTTGTTTTTTTGTTCAGTCCAAACATTATCATCTTTCTCAACTGTGGATATGTTTTATAGGTCTTAGCTAAATTCTCCAGAAGGTATAATTTATCTTTCTTGGACCTGTGGCTATTCATGTTTATGGAAATTTATATGGCTTTGGATTGGTGGTGGGGTTTTTCCTGACTTCCTGTAAAGCAAAAAGAAATGGAATTGAGCTTTATCAGATGACAATACAAACCAATATTTGTCCATCTCTTTAAAACCTGATTTGCTTTTCCTGTTGGTCTGAGTAAGGTAGTAAAAAACTATTTTAATAGAAGCTTGTTTTTATTGTAAATGTTCCTGTCTGGTACACAGTGCTATAAAAGTTCACTTTTAAATGCTCATAAATTAATTTGCTCTGCCAGGTAATTACTGACTTGAATCTGACTGTTCATCTTACTCAAATCATAAGTCTATAAATATATGCAAGTAAAAGGGTAGGTATGAAAGCATTGGTGATACCATGTGGCTTGTTTCCCTTTGAGGTTCTTCCATATTACTTCTATTACTGCATTTTGTTTTTCCCTGGAGTGACTTTGCTACTGTGTGTAAGGGTATATATAATCTGTGGATAAGCTAAGCATGTACTTTAGGTGTCTTTGTCTGTTGCAGTAAGTCTTTATGCTTAGATAAGACTACTAGCTTTAAAGTTTTGGATCATCATATAGTGTTCATTTTAATGATAGTTAACAAAGTGGAGTGCTTACCAATCGTAGAAAAACAAAAACAACAAGCTGGAAGATGATAATGCAGAGAGGTAACACTTAAGGACTTGCAGATTGAACTTAGATTGTTCCTTCTAAACAACTTTTGAACTTGCTTGCTGATATACTTGAGGATAAAAAATTAATATAAAGGCATTATAGAATAGCACTGGTAATGTGGGACAGGGGAGTCATACAGTACCTTTCTTTTATTCAGGTATTGGAAGGAAGAAATTCCACTCTAACAACCCCAAAAGAAATACTTAATTGAAGATTTTAATGCAGCAGCAACGTTTTTGATTTTTCAAGTAACAGTTTTAGGCTAATGGCAATTCTTATTTGGTCATCATCTGTTAGGAAAGTGACATCATTGTCTGTACTTTACAGTGAAGTTACTTTTGTTTATACTGTGGCCAAATGGCATAGTTCATTTAACCATAGTGTGCTCGTCTTGATTGCAGCACATCTTCATTGCCACCTCTTGACTGGCCTTTACCAAGTCATTACGGGCAGTGTGAACTGAAAATAGAAGTCCAGCCTAAAACTCATCACAGAGCACACTATGAAACAGAAGGAAGCAGAGGAGCAGTAAAAGCATCTACTGGAGGACACCCTGTAGTGAAGGTAGGAAGTCTGGCTTTCCTGGATACAAGATAATTTTTTAACTACAATTATTGGTATTTACAATGCTGTGAGTTGTTGCCTTGTGTGAAGCTTACAGTCCTTCCTGGGTAAGATTTTCTCCCTTAACTGTAACTTGTTCAATAGAAAAGTTAGCTTTAGATGTTTGCTACAGTTACGGTGCATGTCAGTTTTATGCTGTATGCAGTTTTATGCTTGTGAATGGATTCACAGTGCAATAGTGTATTAACATATTTAACACACACTTTACGGAGGAAGGAGTGTGCATGGGGGCAGGTAAGAAAAGCCATGATAATAGATTAGTTGGAGCTATACCGAAATATGACATAGCTTCATTTGAATTGGAAATCACCTTTCTTTTGGTGTTGAGACAGCTTTTGAACACTATCAGTGCCTCTTGTTCGTGTTTTTATTAGGTTATTTCTGTGAAATGGTACCCATAAATTCTGTTAACCTTCCTTTAAATGTTTGGAGTAAATTAAACTTGACTCTTTCTTCAGCACAAACCAAAGAACAGCTCTGATGTTACACCTATATTACTCACAGTTTAATGGTAGCTATCTCCTTAAAAAGTAGGGCATCACCTAGTTTCATTAGATTTGGACTGGTTATCTGTAAGGGCAAGTAAGACTTGTTTCTCGCTTTTTTTTTTTCCCCCTTCATCATTTCCATTATCTTAACAGACTTATGCAAGATTTATTGTTTCTTAGAACAGTTTTGATCAGATTCAAGAAAATGCAGTAGTGCGGGCAACAGCCCTCACCTGGCTAACAGAGGGTGGTGATATACTGACTGTTTTGGTAACTGGTACCTGCCATTAACAGTTGCTTTGGCTGGGTTCTTTAGCTAACGCTAAATATTCCAAATGCTAATGGCACCTAAAGTATATTATTTAAATACTTTGCAAGCACCATCCAATTATTGTTGAGCTCAGAATTAGATGTAAGGTCCTAGTAAATTAGGCTTGGCTTTCATAAGAAAGCTTTGCCATCATATTCTCTTTGAAGGGAAAGAAGTGCAGGTTTGGTATTGTGAGTATAACTGTGTGCACTAGTTGTCGTGTGCTCCTCTGACTCTCAAGAGTACAGGTGTGTACACAAATGTCCTACTCTGTGCTGGGAAGACTTCTGGATTAGTTAGGGGTAGTCAGTAATGTCCCCTTGAATATCTGCGGTGCCAGCTGGCTCATGCAGCTGGAAAGGGAACCCACCCTCTCATTCACCAGACATGGGGAAGATTGTGCTGAGGAACTGTGGGACTTCTGAAGATGCCTTGATTTACCAGTTTGCCACATCGTTGGGTGAAAGCAGTGTCTCTTTACTTATTCATCTCAATCTTGCTTAATGGTCTTTATCTTAATCCCAAGCCAGGTTAAGATAAAACTTAATTGTTCATTTATAAGTCAAATCAGACAAAAATTATAAAATCTTTACAGGACAAATAGGGGGGAAAAAAGATTAATCTGCTTACATTAAGGTTACAGCAGGATTTGTCTTTTCCCCTAAATCCAGGATATTTCCTGTTCTTTTCCAGCAAAATGGCAGTCGGGGTTTCAGTTTCAAGGTTTCACTACAGCAGTCTATACATTAAAAACATATTTTATATATTTATCCTATTCCAATAGTTGGAAGTAAGTCATTACTATTTGAGACCAGATGCAAAGTGCTAACAGGATTTCCATAATCAGTTCCCAACCTCTTTCTCCTACTCATACTGTAGTATAAACATGTTATCACTTTTTCTCCTTATAGTTTATTCCTCCTCTCTGGCAAGCAAATTTTGTCATGCTTTGTAATTATATCAGTTTTGGAACAGCTCTAATGTTACACCTATATAAATAAAGATATACCAGCGGAATTTAAATGTCTTTGACTGTCTGTTCCTTTTTCCTTGACTAAGCAATCTTCTCCCTCCAAGCTTTTCATCTGATGAATTTCTTCTTTCCTCCTTTTTTTTCCTCTTAAGACGTTGTGTCTTTCCTTTCTCTCCCTCCAAAAAAGGGCTGGATATCTGCATAGAATCATAGAATCATTTAGGTTGGAAAAGACCTTT